AACATGCTTGCATCGAATTCCACCTGGTCTCGCATAGAGTAAAAATGGCTAAACTATCACCATAGCGCCTGTTCATTGCCTTAGCAGCACGAACCAGCCATTTTGATGTTGGAAACTGGCAGCACCGGCCGCATCCTCCGAAATCTCTTTGAAAACTGTTTTGAGGACGGCCTTGACCAGATTATTGATATCGTGTGCAAACCAAATCAAGAACGCGATATTTGGGTACTTAGGAGCCAAAATGCGACGGTCCCGGCCACACTGCCCAGCGTTATCAGTCACAGCCGCGCCAATCTTCCACTCCGACGCTAGTATCTCTTCAATCACCCCCTCCATTTGTTCGACTATGGCTTGTCCATCGAGGCGATCACTGGTCGGCCTCAAGCCATAGATCATTATTCGACCAAACAACGCGATCAGACAACCAAGCACATGTATCTTGGAAATTGTTTCACAGACGTCCGATAGGAAATTCGCCCTTCATCCTGTACGATTCTGAATTGCCCTGACAGAATCTCGCTGTTCCATGGAATGTAGACCCGCGTATTCGCTCAGTACACGCCCACCCAAAGCATGGCGATGCGGAATGGCGCCCACGGCCGCACAGCGATCGTTTAAAAAGACCAGCAGACGCCTAAACGATAGCAGTTCTACACACGAGTCCGGAAGCAAAGCTTCAGCTAGATACTCCAGCAACAACCGCCAAAACGTCATCATTTCAGCTGGGGTAAATTGGGGTGGTAGGGTGCATTGTAGCTTGTTAGAATAGTCCTCACCACTCACTCCAGCTTCATTTACGTTGCCCTGGATAGGGGCACCAGTTACACGAATGTAGTATAAGCACTGGTACAAATGCTTTTCCCAAGCATCCTTGCGTCCGTGAACGTGCGTTGGAAACGGAACCATAGTCCTGTCCTTCAGGTGTGCCCTGTAGCAGTACTTACACACAGTCCACCACATCGATTTATTGCATTTCTCATTCAAACGGTAAAAGTTTGCGCTGAGAGCACTTGGAGGGCGCCCTCGTTTGGACCCTCCAGCGTTTTCATCACGCAGACCGGGAAGAATATCCATGGGACTGGTGAGATTGACCAACGGTTGCAGCGATAAAAGGCTGGATTCACGGAGGCTAGAACGGAGAATTCGCCTTCTCTCTCTCTCGAAGAAAGTGTTGAAGTGAGTGGAGATCTTTTTTTACGCCAGCAATGTAAAAAGGCACTTGCTATTCAGCCCGATTGGCGTGGAAGGGAGAGGCTAATGGTGCCCGATAACACCCGACCAATGCACGACGATGCCCGAAACAAAATAGAGGCAGTTGAGCAATCGAGTGAAACGCAGCGGCCGTATACGGATATTCGGATGAGAAAGACTTCGTGTTTTGAGTACGGCCGGCAGCGTGTGTATCACAAACTTAATTGAGGAGAGCTCTGTGGAACTGGTACGTGTAGAATCAAAATCAACTTGTTGAAAGACTTAACTAAAGACATATATTCATGTATCTGTAGCGGAGGTACTGCAACTCCTTCCTACTCAACATACAATACCTTGGGCACCAGCTGTAACGGGGTTACACGGGTTTACACCTGGTGTGTTCCACACATGGGTACGGAGTACCCGAAGAGTTAACAAACCCTCAGTACATGACTCGTAGAGTTAACA